GGCCGCCGGGGGCGGGGACGGGAAGCGGAAGCGCGGGGCCGCACGGAGGCGCTCTAGGACCTAGGAGGAGCTGGGCGCCTGTGGGAGTCGCCCGCGTCGGCCAAAGCTCAGTGGCCGGCGGCGGCTGCGTGCCGCCCAGAGGGCTACTCTAAGCCGAGGACGGCGGCCCGAACTCGGTGGTATTAACCGTGTGCCTCCTGGTCTGCAGCTGAGCGAGTAGGACCGACGACTCTTCCTAATTGTCGCTACCTGCAGCCACCCGCGCCGACCTCCGGGGCTGGTTGACGGCGCCAGCCACCCCGGCCAGGGAGAGACAAAGAAAGAGAGATCCAAAGACGGACCCAAGGAAAGGGGTGGGGGAGAGACCAAGGCAGACAAAGGGCGGTGGAGACCCCAGACGGGGCGGGGCGGGGCGCCGAGACACGGGAAACAAAGCGGGGCTGGCCCGAGAGGCCGAGGCCGGGGAGGCGTGGGGGCTGGGCGGGGGGAGATCAAGGCAGGATCAGAGAGGCTAGAGGTGGATGCCAGTAAATGCTGCTGGGAGAGGCAGGCAGATGGAACCAGATCTGGGCCCCGGAACAGAGACCTTGAGCCAGAGACTCGTAGACAAATCCTAACATAAGAGCCCTGAGTCAGAGAGGACGCAAAGGTGGAGAGAGATGAAGGCACAGCGGCGGATCAAAAATACAGGAGCGAAAGATTGGCGGTTAGAGACAGAGATGTAGAGATAAGAAGTAGATATAATGAAGCCGTTGAAGCAGAGTCAGAGGAGCAATGAAAAAAAAAAAAAAAAAAAGACAGGGAGCTGGAGAGAAACAGGCCCAGAAGCAGAGAACAAAAGACACCAGTCAGTGAACCGGGCAAGAGACAAAGAGACAGAGACACAAAGAGGCTGCCAGAAAGACTAGGGATAGGTCGACAGCCCTACAAAGGCCAAGCCCATGGAGAGGCTAAAGAATTAAACCCTTTTCCCCATCCTGGTGATGCCCTGGCTGGGGCTGTGTTTCAGGGGACTAGGCCCCAGGAGCAGGATCCCCAGTATCTGTACTCTGGGAAGGCTTGCCCAGAGTGCCTGGGGGTGTCTTCATTCAGCCCCTCTGCCCATGATGGAGAGGGGTACCTGTGGTGTGCACAGTAATTCACATTTATGAGCACCTTAGTACTAAGCCAAGAGTGTGGGATAAAGAAATGAAATGTGCACGATTTGTCCTTGAGGTGCTACTAGTTTAAAGGGGCAGGCACACAAATCATTACAAATAGAGAACTATGAGGGCGTGAAAGAGTTATATGGACCGATTCAAGATAGTGTAGGAGGGCTGGCCAGTTAGCTCAGTTGGTTAGAGTGTGGTGCTGGTAACATCAAACTCCAGGGTTCGATCCCTGTACTGGCCAGCCACCTAAATAAATAAATAAATAATTTGTTGGAGTTAATAAGCACATCACCATTAGTTTATATCAACTCTACACTTAATACATCGACCAGTCAGGAGCCTTTTCTGCAGGGCAATTTGTTAATATGCACAAGTGCCTTAAATGTATGACTTCCTTTGACTCAGTAATTACCCTTGCAGAAATTAAGCCCGAGGAAACGGTTGGACAAGACAGGTGTACAATGAAAACACCACAAACCTGTTCATCTCAGCTCAGCATTGTTTATCATGGAGAAGAATGGGAAAATAAATGAATAAGAATAATAAAGAATGGGAATCAACCTAAATACTAAGCATCTATAAAAATGATTATGTAGGTGTGCACTTATTATACATAGGACTTGCCAGTTAGCTCAGTTGGTTAGAGCACAGCCTTGTAACACCAAGGTTAAGGGTTCAAATCCCCACACCAGCCAGCTGCCAGAAAAAAAAAACCCAACAAACAAAAAAAGAAAGATGTACAGAACATATGAAGTGACAAAAGTGGGTTTCCAAAGTTATAATGTGACCCTGTTTTTACAAGTACATATGTATACATATGTCTAGGCATAGGAGCACATCTAGAAAGGGAAATACCATAATGGGGTTATATCAGGGTGGTATTAGATTTATATTTTTCCCTTTGGTGGCCAGCACACACAGGGAACTGAACTCTTGACCTTGAGGTTGCAAGGCAGTGTTCTAACCAACTGAACTAACCAGCCAGTCCACACTTTTCTAATTCATTTGCATTGTTTAATTTTCCTATGAGAACATATGTTAGTTGTATAATGAATAAATGAATATATTTGATGTTTTCTTTTTTTTTTTTTTAAAGATGACCGGTAAGGGGATCTCAACCCTTGGCTTGGTGTTGTCAGCACCACGCTCAGCCAGTGAGCAAACCAGCCATCCCTATATAGGATCCGAACCCGTGGCCTTGGCGTTCTCAGCACCGCACTCTACCGAGTGAGCCATGGGCCGGCCCTTGATGTTTTCTTAAAGGCTGTTAAATAACTCAGGGAAGAGCTGATCAGAGTCTGAACCCAGGGGAGGGCAATGGGGTGAGAGGTGTGGAGAAAAGAGGACTAATTTTTCTGAGGCATAGGCAGAACTTGGAAACCAATTGGACATACTGGGAGGAGTTCAAGTTTTAGCTGAGACCACAGGCTGCTCAGACTGAGATGTGGAGGAGAAAGGGCTGCAGTGGAAGGGGAAGGGGTATAATCCTCTCTTTCCTTTGCTTCTTTCTCTTTTGGGGGGTGGGGGACCCCTTTCCTTATTTCTAAGTACTCTCTTTCTCCCCCTGCACTTTGAGCACAAATGCTGTGTGTCACACTTACTGTGGCTGTCTCTCTCCCCAGAGGGCCTCGACCCTGACTGGATTCACCCTGTCTAGATCCTCAGCAACTAGTCCAGAAGAGCAGTCACTAGATTTGGGCTGGCAGCACCGCCACATTCCTCAGCTCATGTGATGGTAATAACTAGCATTTTGTGTGAGTTCATCTCATATGCCAGGCACTGTACTAAGAGCTTGGTGTGTATTAACCCACATAATCTAAATCATGACCCTATGAAGTAGAACTATTAATGGTGTCATTTAACAGATGAAGAAACTGAGTCACAGAGAAGTTAAAGATGCCCGAGGTCCACAGTAAGGTCACACAGCTCTTAATAACTATATAGGGCTGGCCAGTTAGCTTAGTTGGTTAGAGCAAGGTGTTATAACACCAAGGTCATGGGTTTGGATCCCCATACCAGCCAGTCGCAAAAAAAATAAAATAAAATAAAAATGCTTCTATGTTTCCACAATCACATGTACCTTGCAAAATCTCTCGAGTTCAGTACGGCAGGAGCTTCTAATCCCATTTTATAGATGAAGGAAAGAAAGGCCCAGAGAGGTGACCTTTCTAAGGTAACATGAGGGAACAGTACTAGAAATGAGGTTGAAGTAAGGATAAGATGTACACATGGCAATATGGATAGATCTTAAAAAATAGATCGAAACCAAAAAGTTAACAGAATGACATATGTATATACACATGCATATACATGACCATTTGTATAAACATATACTGTTTATGTACATTAAAATGTACCTTTTGGGCCGGCCCGTGGCTCACTCGGGAGAGTGCAGTGCTGATAACACCAAGGCCCCGGGTTCGGATCCCATATAGGGATGGCTGGTTAGCTCACTGGCTGAGCGTGGTGCTGACAACACCAAGTCAAGGGTTAAGATCCCCTTACCGGTCATCTTTAAAAAAAAAAAAAAAATGTACCTCCTGTATAGTACACATTTTTCGAAATGTATACAAACAGAAAAAGTACACATTAAACACATGACAGCAGTTGCCTTGTGGGGGGGAGGTGTGGGGTGGAGTTGGTCTGTTGGGGCTGCTATAACAGAATGCCACAGACGGGGGGGCTTAAACAACAGACATTTATTATCATAGTTCAGGAGACCGGAAGTCCAAGGTCAAGGTGCCAGCAGCGTTGGTGTCTGCTGAAGCCCCTCTCCTTAGGTTACAGATGTCCTTTCTTCTGTGCATGCACAGAGAGAGAGAGATGGTGTCTCATCCTCTTCTAAGGACACTAGTCCTGTTGGATTAGGGCCCCACCCTTATGACTTGGTTTAACCTTAATTACCTCTTTAAAGTCTCTATCTCCAAATACAGTCACATTGGGGGTTAGAGCTTCAACATATGAATTTGAGGGTGGAGGGAGACACAATTCAGTTCATAACAGGGGCTAAAAGGGAAATATTAAATAAAACCAGGGCCGGCCCGGTGGCGCACTGCTGTAGTGCGCCGCTTGGGAAGCGCGGCGGCGCTCC